TCTCTCTATCTCCCTCTGATCAATGTTTATAAACAATGTTACTTTGTATCTCTCTATCTCCCTCTGATCAATGTTTATAAACAATGTTACTTTGTATCTCTCTATCTCCCCTCTGATCAATGTTTATAAACAATGTTACTTTGTATCTCTCTATCTCCCTCTGATCAATGTTTATAAACAATGTTACTTTGTATCTCTCTATCTCCCCTCTGATCAATGTTTATAAACAATGTTACTTTGTATCTCTCTATCTCCCTCTGATCAATGTTTATAAACAATGTTACTTTGTATCTCTCTATCTCCCTCTGATCAATGTTTATAAACAATGTTACTTTGTATCTCTCTATCTCCCTCTGATCAATGTTTATAAACAATGTTACTTTGTATCTCTCTATCTCCCTCTGATCAATGTTTATAAACAATGTTACTTTGTATCTCTCTATCTCCCTCTGATCAATGTTTATAAACAATGTTACTTTGTATCTCTCTATCTCCCTCTGATCAATGTTTATAAACAATGTTACTTTGTATCTCTCTATCTCCCTCTGATCAATGTTTATAAACAATGTTACTTTGTATCTCTCTATCTCCCTCTGATCAATGTTTATAAACAATGTTACTTTGTATCTCTCTATCTCCCTCTGATCAATGTTTATAAACAATGTTACTTTGTATCTCTCTATCTCCCTCTGATCAATGTTTATAAACAATGTTACTTTGTATCTCTCTATCTCCCTCTGATCAATGTTTATAAACAATGTTACTTTGTATCTCTCTATCTCCCTCTGATCAATGTTTATAAACAATGTTACTTTGTATCTCTCTATCTCCCTCTGATCAATGTTTATAAACAATGTTACTTTGTATCTCTCTATCTCCCTCTGATCAATGTTTATAAACAATGTTACTTTGTATCTCTCTATCTCCCTTTGATCAATGTTTATAAACAATGTTACTTTGTATCTCTCTATCTCCCTCTGATCAATGTTTATAAACAATGTTACTTTGTATCTCTCTATCTCCCTCTGATCAATGTTTATAAACAATGTTACTTTGTATCTCTCTATCTCCCTCTGATCAATGTTTATAAACAATGTTACTTTGTATCTCTCTATCTCCCTCTGATCAATGTGTATAAACAATGTGACTTTGTATCTCTCTATCTCCCTCTGATCAATGTTTATAAACAATGTTACTTTCTATCTCTCTCTCTCCTGGACTGGAGCTCAAGGGCTGATTTTACATTTTTAGAAGGTGGAACTTTTCTAAATGTGTAATGACGGGAATTTCTTTAAAGCTATTTACAGTCCACATTACGTTGCACGGGCTATGCAATGAAAACTCAGAGAACAGGCACATTGAAGGATCTGTGTAGAGTTTTTCATTGTATGAACATGCTTGTGTCCAGGAATGTTGTCAGGCAAGTAGTCACCAGCGCAGGCTGGAAGGATCACCTGATGCTCATACTACTGTTCTGGGTTTATAGAATGGCGTCAGAAGTGGATATGGTGGGCGTGGCTCCGTGAGGTGTGAATGCGACACACAATGCACAGCAGGCAGACGTCTCATAGGGTAAAATGAAATCCTATATCAAGCTGCTGCAGAAGAGTATCGGTTTATTTATTTATTACAGGTATTCATATAGCGCCGACAATTTACTCAGCACTTTGCATAGTTACACATTCACATCAGTCCCTACCCTCAAGGAGCTTACAATCTAAGGTCCCTATCTCACATACATACATACATACATACATAGAGGGCCAACTTAGAGAAGAGCCAATTAACCTTCCAGCATGTCTTTGGAGCGTGGGAGGAAACCCACGCAAGCACAGGGAGAACATGCAAACTCCTTGCAGATCGTGACCTGGCCGGGATTAAAGCTAACCAATGCTATAGGACAGCGGCAGCGAACCTATGGCACGCGTGCCAGAGCGGGCACGCAGGGCCGTTTCTGCTGGCACGCGAGCCCAGGTCCGCCGTACCACTTTACAATTCACTGATGGGCACGCAGGCGCAAAAAAAAGTTACGGAGATGCGGTCATCTACTGGCGCGCAAGTGCATTGAAGAGGAGCCGCGCAGGTGCAGTGACGTCAACGACTGACGAGGTATGTATGGCGCGCGCGCTCTAGCATTACCTCAGACACAGGAGAGCACGCTAGACGGCCGCTCGCTGCGGCCTGTCAGGGCCCTAGCCCTAGGTTTAGTGCCAAAATCATGTCATATGTGTGCAGAGTAACCAATGGTGGTAAACTCATGTGACTGAAGTGCAGTTGACAACAGCAAACAGATGCACATTAAATGAATGGAATGCTATAGGAAGTTGTCAGAGACTGCAGACATAGTACAGGAGATGGTCAGAGACTGCAGACATAGTACAGGAGATGGTCAGAGACTGCAGACATAGTACAGGAGATGGTCAGTGACTGCAGACATACAGGTGAAACTCGAATAATTAGAATATCGTGCAAAGTTCATTTATTTCACTAATGCAACTTAAAAGGTGAAACTAATATATGAGAGAGACTCATTACATGCAAAGCAAGATAATTCAAGCCGTGATTTGTCATAATTGTGATGATTATGGCTTACAGCTCATGAAAACCCCAAGAACCCCAAATCCACAACCTCAAAAAAGTAGATTATTACATGCAATCAATAAAACAAGGATTGTACATAGAACAATACCGGACCTCTGAAAAGTACAAGCATGCATATGTACTCAGTACTTGGTTTGGGCCCCTTTTGCAGAACTTACTGCAATTAATTTTGCATGATATTCTAATTATTCGAGTTTCACCTGTAGTACAGGAGATGGTCAGAGACTGCAGACATAGTACAGGAGATGGAGTTTATATACAATGTTACTTTGTATCTCTCTATCTCCCTCTGATCAATGTTTATAAACAATGTTACTTTGTATCTCTCTATCTCCCTCTGATCAATGTTTATAAACAATGTTACTTTGTATCTGCCTATTGCCCCCTTAAAAACTCCCACAACCCATTTTTGTGTTTGACCAAAGTGGGAAAATGTCACCAAAGTCTCCAGATTTCTTCAAAAAAAAAAAACAAGAAAAGGAAAACTATCAATTTTGCTGAGCACTAGTTGTTGGATTACCATAGGACGCCCTATCCTATCTTTAACTGACAGCCATGCACTGTGCAGCACACAGCACCCTAAAAACATTTTATGCCCCATCACAACTACAAAGCAAGTTTCTGAGTATATCATTCTGAATATATGAATAAATAAAATATACCGGATATTAGTTTGTAATACACAGAGTTCAGCGATCGTTTTGTGAGGTGTTGAGGTGAGCTGGCACCCTCCCCCGCAGTGTGCCGGAGCCCGGCAGACACTCAATTACTTAATAATGAAGATATTGTTATCACCTCTTATGCACCATAAACCGAACAAACACTGCGGCTTCATTCAGAGAGCCGACAGGCAACATTCCCAACCGGTTTTATGATCTCTGGATTTGAATGGAGTCTTACAGAAACATTAAATGGAAACTGCATACATATATAATAGGATACACTGAATATACACACATGAGAGCCTGGGAAATAAATACGACTTGTGTCAGCTGTGTAGATGTAAAAGCAGCAGAACTGGAAAGGAGGTCCGTTGTGGAAATTAATGACATATTCTTAAATTTTGGCACAAGAACAAGTCCAGGAAAAATGAATGGAGCTTCTGTAACAATTAGGAGACATTTATAGTCCCCCGCACCTTTAAAAAACAGCAAAACCACCTTCATGTTGCGTTCTACATTGACTTTGATTCATTTTATATATTCCTGTACTAAAGAAGATGAGATATGAAGCACAGGGATGGTGGGAGCTCCTCATAATGGGCACAGCGGGTGTACAGACCCAGGAACTCAGCACAGGGATGGTTATAGGAGGAGTCTGTGGTGGGTGGTGGGAGCCCCTCATAATGGGCACAGCGGGGGTACAGACCCAGGAACTCAGCACAGGGAGGGTGGGAGCTCCTCATAATGGGCGCAGCGGGTGTACAGACCCGGGAACTCAGCCCAGGGATGGTGGGAGCTCCTCATAATGGGCGCAGCGGGTGTACAGACCCGGGAACTCAGCCCAGGGATGGTGGGAGCTCCTCATAATGGGCGCAGCGGGTGTACAGACCCGGGAACTCAGCCCAGGGATGGTGGGAGCTCCTCATAATGGGCGCAGCGGGTGTACAGACCCGGGAACTCAGCCCAGGGATGGTGGGAGCTCCTCATAATGGGCGCAGCGGGTGTACAGACCCGGGAACTCAGCCCAGGGATGGTGGGAGCTCCTCATAATGGGCGCAGCGGGTGTACAGACCCGGGAACTCAGCCCAGGGATGGTGGGAGCTCCTCATAATGGGCGCAGCGGGTGTACAGACCCGGGAACTCAGCCCAGGGATGGTGGGAGCTCCTCATAATGGGCGCAGCGGGTGTACAGACCCGGGAACTCAGCCCAGGGATGGTGGGAGCTCCTCATAATGGGCGCAGCGGGTGTACAGACCCGGGAACTCAGCCCAGGGATGGTGGGAGCTCCTCATAATGGGCGCAGCGGGTGTACAGACCCGGGAACTCAGCCCAGGGATGGTGGGAGCTCCTCATAATGGGCGCAGCGGGTGTACAGACCCGGGAACTCAGCCCAGGGATGGTGGGAGCTCCTCATAATGGGCGCAGCGGGTGTACAGACCCGGGAACTCAGCCCAGGGATGGTGGGAGCTCCTCATAATGGGCGCAGCGGGTGTACAGACCCGGGAACTCAGCCCAGGGATGGTGGGAGCTCCTCATAATGGGCGCAGCGGGTGTACAGACCCGGGAACTCAGCCCAGGGATGGTGGGAGCTCCTCATAATGGGCGCAGCGGGTGTACAGACCCGGGAACTCAGCCCAGGGATGGTGGGAGCTCCTCATAATGGGCACAGCGGGTGTACAGACCTGGGAACTCGGCACAGGGATCTCTCCAATAGAAACATAACAGGCCTGCTCTCACCTTTGCATATAAAGCATTTGATGTGGAAGTGTTTGGACTGGACTCGGAGGACTTCCCCTTTGCATGGCTCTCCGCACTTATGGCAGTTGATGACCGGCTTCTCGGCGGGCTGTCCGGGGTCCTGGGAATGGGCAACTGGAAGAGAGTGAGAAGGGACATGGTTAAACCACTTCCTGTACAGAGTCACCGAGAGAAAACATTTATCTTCCCAAAGACATCGGCGATCTCCGAGCGGAATCAGAAATAAGACTTACAACACACAATGATACAATGATAGAAACACTCGATGTCGGCTGATCTGGAGGCAATCTGCGTACTGTGAGACAGAACATCGCCGAGGGACGTAATGTTACACAGCAACAATATCCCGTCCTGTATATTACCTTCACTATATGAAAGCAGAAGAAGATTGCCCATTACAAACAGCAAAGACAGACTGACATGTATATGATGCCCCAATAAAGTGGACCTGTCCTCAGATAATGTTTCCTTCATGTATACGGATTACGTGATGGGCCAGTGTGACCCCTCCAGGTATCTATTACCTCTCATAGAGATCACAGGACTCCCCCTCACAATGCCTTCTTCTGATTTTAGGACAGCACCATACTTGTTCAGGTATCATCTGGTTATGACCTGTCCTGGTCTATAAGCCAGCTTGGTCAGTGAAGTCTATGATCTCTGTCTTCAGTCTTCTATCTGACCTCCGTCCTCCGCTTCAGTCTTCTATCTGACCTCCGTCCTTCCCTTCAGTCTTCTATCTGACCTCCGTCCTTCCCTTCAGTCTTCTATCTGACTTCTGTCCTTCCCTTCAGTCTTCTATCTGACCTCCGTCCTCCCCTTCAGTCTTCTATCTGACCTCCGTCCTCCCCTTCAGTCTTCTATCTGACCTCCGTCCTTCCCTTCAGCCTTCTATCTGACCTCCGTCCCCCTCTTCAGTCTTCTATCTGACCTCCGTCCTTCCCTTCAGTCTCCTGTCTGACCTCCGTCCTCCCCTTCAGTCTTCTATCTGACCTCAGTCCTACCCTTCAGTCTTCTATCTGACCTCCGTCCTTCCCTTCAGTCTTCTATCTGACCTCCGTCCTTCCCTTCAGTCTTCTATCTGACCTCCGTCCTTCCCTTCAGTCTTCTATCTGACCTCCGTCCTTCCCTTCAGTCTTCTATCTGACCTCCGTCCTTCCCTTCATCATCCAGGGTCACCATCTACTTCCTGGACACAGATGACGGCTCAGAGGTGAAACATTCATGTAAATCCTTGTGCCTATGCAGTTCTTGGCTGCGCTCAGGGGCGTCCCGAGGCTGGGTGACACCCGGAGCGGTTACCGGGTGTCACC